TTAATAATAAATTTTTAAAAAATATAAAAAATAGAAAGCATTATGCTGAGGAAATAAATGTGACATAAGGACAAATACTACATCAGACTACTATTGTGAAAACAGGAGGCTAATTGAGTATGGTATGTATTGTTGCTGTTTGTTGCTATGTGCCATCGAGTTGCCTGCAACTCATGGTGACCCTATGTACAACATCTCTAAACCCTGCTCTATCCTGTGCCAATCTTAACTGTCTCTGACACATCTACCCCCATATTACCCAGTCACTGAATCAAATATTTTGAAAGGGAAAGGAAAGGAGAAAAGGGAAAGAAGAAAAATGAAGAGGGTAACATTATTAAGATAGCAGTTGTGAGAAAGCGGGGTTACGTAGAGGAATAAGAAAGATGCAGTAGTGTCTTCAATTATATAAAACAATGAATATAAATGATAGTACAAAACACAATGCACATGAATGAAACACAATATATATAACAATGTATATAAATAATGTATAAAACACAATGTACATGAATAATTATATAAAAAGAATGTACATGAATGAAACAAAATGTGTATGAATGACTGCACACAAACCAATAAAACATTTTTTTAAGTTTCTCATCTAAGAACCATCTAAACATAATCTTTTCTTCAAAAGTCTTCTGAATATCTCAAAGAAATAGTCTATTTGTTTTGTTTTTCTAAGTACTCTTTTCAAAACTGTGTAAAACCATATGATTCTATTTACTTCCATGCCAGTCTTGCTCAACATACAGAGGCATAGCAGCATGTTCTTACTATGTATCACAATGTACAACAGTAACTAGTATATAAATGACAGGCTATTGTTGGTGCCTCTATTACCTGCCATAGTGTCAGAACGGTTTCATACCTGACCCTCCAAGGGGCTTTCAGAGGCTTTATTACAATTAAGAAGAATGCTCAACTTTCTCCTACAGAGCAGCTGGTGAATCAAAACTACTCGCCTTTGGAAGGAAGTATCCACTAACACACTAGAGTTTCCTATATAATAGTATAACACTAAAAGTATAAAGAAAGTCTATTTCTTTAAATCTCAGCTTCATTTTGAAAATGCTTTAAGCTTTAGCAATATAACGTTAAAGCAAACATGCTACAGACCAGAAAGTTAAAAGCATTCATACCTTCAGTGTCTTGATCATAGTTGGATCAGTTGATCTAACATAAAAACTCTTCAGATAAGGTTCAAACATTCCCTAAATTTAAAAAAAAAAATTAAACATAAATTTATGCTACCGGAGTTTTTATTTCTCTTATGTGTTCACAATGTGCATACCTTTCTTTGAATTGACATAGTTGCTATATTCTGTAGGACAATATACTGCACCTCCCTAGGAAGGAAAAAAAAATGTTATTGAATGTTTTCTAACATGATTTTTTAGTAAGTGATACATTAAAGAGAAATAATCAGAAATAAATCTCACATTTAATGGAATTCATACATGTAATATCAAAAAGTTTCAAATAAAGTGTAGATTTTTACACTCTCCCCCCCAATGCACAGTAAACTAAATTTATTGTGAGAAAAATTAAAAATTAATCTTATGTTACTGGATTTTTAAGGTATAAAATACTGGGGTTGATCTGAACACATGTCATCTAGGGAAGTAATCTACAGGTCTAATAACATAAATATGACCACAGAATTAATAAAAACTGAGTAATGAAATATTCTTCATCCTGAACAGAGTAAAAATTCAAATTTTAAAAAGCAGGGAAATAATTTTATGTCCAATATCCAAGAATAAATAAATAAATAAACTCAGATACAGTGTAAAGTTTCATGTGATGGCCCATTCCAGACCTTTCTAAAAGGATGGATCTATCTATCTATCTATCTATCTATCTATCTATCTATCTATCTATCTATCTATCTGTCTATCATCTATCTATCTATCTATCTCACTGATAAGAAAAGGAAGGTTATATGGAGAGATAGGAGAGAATAGGAATATACAAAAAAATACACTTATCATTTAGGGATGGCAAAAGCTAGTGAATGGCTAAAGTTGTGGTGGTGGTTGTTGTTACTTGCTCTCGAGGCACCTGTGACTCATAATGACCCTATGTACAACAGCCCTAAACCCTGCTCTATCCTGTGCCAATCATAACTGTCTCTGACACATTACCTTAGTCACTGAATCAATCCACCTCACAGAGGGTCTATCTCTCCTCTGCTGTCCCTCTAACCTCACAAGCATGACGTCCTTCTACAAAGATTGGTCCCCCCTTGCAACATGTCCAAAATATGTCAGATGAAGCTTCAGAATCCTTGCCTCCAAGGAGCAGCCCGGCTTCACCCTCTCCAGGACAAACTTGAAAATTCTCCTAGCAGTCTATGGTATACACAATACTCTTCTCCAGCAAAACAGCTCAAAGGCATCAATTCTCCTTCTATCACCTCTTGTCATTGTCCAGCTCTCTGATACATAGCAAGTAACTGCAAAGACCATCGCCTGAATCAGGTGCACCTTAGTCTCCAGAATGACAGAATGCTTTTCAATACTCTAGAGAGGTCTCTGACAGCTGACTTTTCCAATGCAATTTGTCTTTTAATTTCCTGGCTGCTGGTACCAAGAGTGCTGACTGTAGAGCCAAGCAAACTATAGCTGTCAACAATCTTAATCTCTACACCATCTATCATGATGCTGCCAATCAGCCCACTGGTGAATATCTTTGTTTTCTTGATGTTGAGCTTCAATCCATATTTGAATGCTGCAGTTCTTTACCTTCTGCAGCAAGTACTTCAGTTTCAGAAGCAGGGCTGTATCATCTGCATAATGCAGATTGTTGATGAGTCTACCTCCAATTCTGAAGCCACATTTCTCCTCATAGAGCCTCTGAATAATTTGTTCCACATATAGTTTGAAAAGATATGGAGATAGGACAAATCCTTGGTGCACACCCTTCCCAATTCTGAACCAGGCAATTCAAAAAAAGTTGCAGTACTTTTAATTAAGGATGTGTCATACATATAGTATCATACATACAGTCAAGGACTGCAGCCTCCAATATGGATTGAGGCTCAATGTCAAGAAGACAAAGATTCTCACCACTGGACCAACTGGCAGCATCAGGATGGATGGTGAAGAGAATGAGATTGTTTACAGCTTCAGTTTGCTCGGCTCCATGTCAACACTCTTGGCACCAGCAGCCAGGTAATCAAAAAACATATTGCAATGGGAAAGTCTGCTGTTAGGGACCACTCTAAAGTACTCAAGAGCAACGGTGTCTCTCTGGAGACTAAGGTGTGCCTGATACAGGCCATGATCTTTGCAATCACTTGTTATGCATCAGAGAGTTGGACAATGGCTAGGGAGGATAGAAGAATTGATGTCTTTGAGCTGTGGTGATGGAGAAGAGTACTGAACATACCATGGACTGCCAAAAAAACAAATGGATTTATCCTGGAGAGGGTTAAACGAAGCTACTCCTTGGAGGCAAGGATTCTGGGGCTTCATCTGACATACTTGGGGCATGTTGCAAGGAGGGACTGGTCCTTGGAGGGGGCCATCATGCTTGGGAGGGTGGAGGGACGGCGCAAGAGGGGAAGACCCTCTATGAGATGGACTGATTCAGTGACTGGGGTAATCGGGATGGGGGTGCCAGAGGCAGTGCGATTGGCACAGAATAGAACAGGGTTTAGGGCTGTTGTACATAGAGTCGCTATGAGTCGCAAACGACTCGAGGGCACATAACAACAACATCATCATCATCATACATATGATATTGTTGTTGTTGTTGTATACCAGAGAGTCAGAACCAACCCATAGCTGACCCTCTGGTGGGTTTTCAGAGGAAGTTAATCACATGGGAAGAGATTGCCCATCCTTCTACAGAGCAGCTTATGGCGTCAAACTGAGTGCTTTCAGAATTGTAACGCAGCTTCTTGCCACTCAAGCTCGACTTAAAACACCACTGGGAAAGTCTGCCGTCAGAGACCTCTGCAAAGTACTGAAGAGCAATGATATCAGTCTGGAGACTAAGGTGCACTTGGTACAGGCCACAGTCTTTGCAATTACTTGCTATGCATCAGAAAGCTGGACAATGACTAGGGGTGATAGAATGAGAATTTATGCCTTTGTGCTGTGGTGCTAGAGAAGAGTATTGAATATATCGTGAACTGCTTAGAGAACAAACAGGTTCTTCCAAGAGAGAGTGAGACCAGGCATCTCCTTGAAGGCAAGGATTGTGAAGCTTTGTCTGACATATTTTGGCCATGTTATAAGGAGGGACCAGTCCTTAAAAAGTGATGTAATGCTTGAAAGGGTGGAAGAATAGCACAAGAGAGGAAGCCCCTCAATGACAGGATAGGGCTGGATTTAGGGATTTTGTACATGTGGTCACTATGAATTGTATGTGACTTGGAATGTAACAATAATAACATCATATATATATTTATGTTGTTATATGGCATCAAATTGGATATGACTCATAGCTGATCATTTAGTATGTTTTCAGAAGCAGTAAATTATACAGTAAGAGACAGTCCATCTTTTTTGTAGAGCAGCTGGTAGGTTCAAGACTTGTCTCTTTGAGTTAGTCTTACACTAGGCAACTAGAGATACTGCATATATGTATGTATGTCTTTATGTACATCTCTGTTAGCAGAAGTATTGTTTTTGTTATGTACCATAGAGATGGAACTGGCCCTTAGCTGATCCTCTAGTGGGTTTTCAGAGGCAGTTAATCACACGGGAGGAGAATGCTCATCCTTCTCCCAAGGAGAAGCTGGTGGATTCAAACCTTGTACCTTTACAGCACAGCTTCTTTCCAGAAGGCCCACAGAACATTTAATTTTTAATTAATAAATTGCAATTAATGCAAAAGATCCACTATTACAGTCAATAGCTAAAGCAAAAATACATTTTTAAAAACAAAATCAAAAGGACAAATAAATTTTAAACTTTGAAATTCCAAGACATAGGCATTCCTTGATATTGCTTGAGTTGTTGCCCTGAAATACTGAACAAAAACATGTAAAAATTAAACAAACAGGTGTTCCACTTATGCACAAGAAATAGCATGCATTTCAAATGACTTATAAAGAACAGAGTTTCATTTTTAAACTACAAGTTACTAAACGCTGCCACTTTATACAAAGTCTTTCTTTTACAAACTAAAACCTACTGTTTCATATAAAATTAAATACAACATAGTACATGAATCTAAGAAACACTTGAAATTGAAGAACAAACTCATGCCTCGAGTTCTAATACTTAAGTATGCTGAAGGCAGAATGTTGAATGACTTAGGAAGCATCAAAAGAAGATGGAAGGAGTACACAGAGGCACTATACCAGAAAGAACTGGCTGATACAGAAGAATTTCAAGAAACAACATATGATGAAGAGCCCATGGTGATGAAGGAAGAAGTTCAAGCTGCTCTGAAAGAACTGGCAAAAAAACAGGTCCCAGGAATTGATGGAATACCAAATCACAATATTTCAGTAAACAGATGCTGCCCTGGACTTACCAGGTTATGCCAAGAAATCTGGAGGACAACTTCTGGGCCAAATGACGAAAGAGATCTGCATTACTCCCATTCCAAAAAAGGTGACCCAACAGAATGTGGAAATTATTGAATGATATAACTAATATCACACACAAGCAAGATCCTGCTAAAGATTATCCAGAACCGACAGGAACATCAGCAGAGAACTGGCAAATGTGCTGGCTGGGCTGAGAAGAGGCCATGGCATTAGGGACATCAAGGCCAACATTAGATGGATCTTCACCGAAAGCAGACAATACCAGAGGAAAGTCTATCTGTGTTTCACTGACTATGCAGAGGCACTGACTGTATGGAACACAATACATTGTGGCTAATCTTGAGAAGAATGGGGATTCCAGAACACGTAACTGTGCTCATGCAAAACCTATACTTGGACCAGGAAGCCAGTAGTTAGAACAAAGCAGGGAAACACTGCATGGTTAAGAATCAGGAAAGGTATGCATCAGGGATGCATCCAATCTCCATAGTTTTTCAATCTATATGTAGAAAAGATCATTCAAGAGGATGGCTTTTAAGAGGAGAAATGTCGCATTAAGATTGGAGGAAGACTCATCAAAAACCTGTTAAACAGATGACACAACCTTTCTTACTGAAACTGAAGAGGACATAAGGCATTTGCTGCACAAAGTCAAGGACTGTAGTCTTTCAATATAGACTGAAGACCAACATCAAGAAAACAAAGATTCTCACCACTGAGCCAATCAGAAGCTTCATGATGAATGGAGAAGACTGAGATTGCTGATAATTTCAGCTTGCTTGGTTCCACCATCAACCTTCCTGGCACCAGCAGTCAAGTCAGGTGCTGAAATTACCTACATTCTCTTAGAATTCACCCCTACCCAGGATCTCAAAATGTGGCATTATTTGCAAATACAATCTCTGCAGATAGGTAAAGATATAAGATCATATTGGATCTAAGGGTAGGCCATAAAAGGTAAATTGGGCAAGTCTGCTGTCAGGGGTATCTTTAGAGTACTGAGGAGCAACAATGTCAGTCTGGAGACTAAAGTGCACCTGATCCAGTACATGGTCTTAGCAATTACTTGCTATGTATCAGATAGCTGGACAATAACTAAGGATGTTAGAAGTACTGATGCCTGTGAGTTGTGGTGCTGAAGAAGAATTTTGAACATATCATAGACTGCCAGGAGAACAAAGAGGTCTGTCTTGGAGAGGGTGAAACCAGGCTGCTCCCTGGAAGCAAGGATTTTGAGACTCTGTCTCACATACTTGGGTGCGTGGCCAGGAGGGACCAGTCCTTTGAGAGGGACATCATGCTTGGGAGGGTGGAGGGACAGCACAGGAAAGCAAGACTCAGGATGAGATGGATTGACTCAGTGATGGACTGACTGGAGAAATGGGACTAGGTCCACTGGGGATGATGAGATTGGCTCAGGATATGCAGGTTTCAGAGCTAAAGTACACAGGCTGACTGTGAGTCGCAAGCGATGTGATAACATATCACAATAAGACAACTGCTGACAGTATACAGTACATAGCTGAGAAGCTATGGAATAGTTTCCAGCAGCTCTTTGAACTTTCAGTTGTAAAAACAATCTTCATACATATAGGACATATGATGTGCTCAAGAATGAAATCTTATTGACAAAATATACTAAAGAGTAAGTGATAAATAGGAAGCCTCTGGTGGCCTAGTGGTAAGGAATTGCACTGCCAACCCAAAAGTACACAGTTCAAATTCTCCAGTTGCTCTGTGGGAGAAAAATGGGTAATCTCCTCACAAGCAATTAACTGCCCCTCAAAATCCACAGGAGGGTCAGTTACGAGTCAGTTCCGACTTGAGGGTACACAACACCACCACCACCATTATTATGATCCCCTCAAGTATGAAATTTTCTTGACAAACTATAATCAGAAGCAAATTAAAAAATGCCTGAAATACTACATTTACTCAAACATTACTTTTAACACAAATAAAAAGCATATATAAAATCATGCCTTACCTATTGCTACGAAGTAAACGCACAAGTGACTTTGAAATAATGCCAGCTTCAGCTTTTGGTGAAATGTGCCAATAGAGTTGAGCAACTGCCATAACCACCTGGAAGTCAAAGCAAGAAACAACTGAGGCGCTGAACACTGGAATTATCTACATTCTCTCAGAATCCACCCCAAATGTGACATTACTTGGAAATAAGATCTTTGCAGATGAGTAAAGAAATAAGATCATACTGGACTTAGGGTGGGCCTTAAATCCAATGAGAATGTTCCTAGTAAAGACAAAACAAATAAAAATACCACTTTCACCACACTTCCCCAACCCTACTGAAGACAGATAAAAAGATGATACAAAGGATGAAGGTGAGATAAAGATGCTAGTGAAGACTGCAAGGATGCATCTAAAAGCCAAGAAATACCAAGCACTGCTGGCAACCACCAGATCCTAGAAGAGGCATAGGATGGGAAAGAATCAACCCTGGTGACATGCAGATTTTAGACTCTGACATCCTGAATTTTGAGACTAAATTTTATGTTGAAAGTCTGAGCTATCAAGTGTGCAGGCAGGCAGGTAGTATGCTGATTGTAACACACTGCTTCTCCTTTGAGTGATAGTGCCCACTGATAGATATTGTAAAGAACATCTTATGTCTCTAGAAGCTTATGAGTGGTTATGCAAGATACAATTAGTGGTCTCCACTGAGAAGGAACTAACAAGATTGACAGTAATCAAAGGGTTAAACACATCAGCCTTTGATTTCCTCTCCATATGTTAAGTTCTAAATCTACACCATTTTGACATCCTTTATGGTTTTGAAAAGAATCATGGTGATACCTTGTTCTTTGGTGCCATGAGTCGATCTAGTATGACTTGCAGAGATCCTATGAACAACAATTTGAACCCTGTCCTATGCCATGCCATCCTCAAAGTCTGACAGCATGTTGTGCTGGGAAATGAAATTCTGTTGTTATGTGCTATTGAGTCACCTGCAATTCATAGGGACTCTATGTATAACAGCTCTGAACCCTGCTCTCTCCTAAGTCAGTCTCACTGACTCCAGCATACCAATCCCCACTGCCCCAGTTACTGTATCAATCCATCTGAGGTTTTCCTCTCCTATGCTGTCCCTCCACCCTTCTGAGCATGATGTCCTTCTCCTAGAACCTGTTCTTCCTGGCCATGTGCCCAACGTACGTAAGATGGAGCTTCAAAATCCTAGCTTCCCAGGAAAACCTTGGTTTCACCCTCCCCAAGACAGACTTTATTTGTTTTCTTGGCAGTCCATGGTATGGTCAAGACTCTTCTCCAGCACCACAACTCAAAGGCATTGATTCTTCTGTCATCGTTCATCACTGTCCAGCTCTCTGATACAATTTTTGCACGTAACTGCAAAGATCATGGTCGGGACCAGGCGTACCTTAGTCTCTAGACTGACATTGCTTTTGAGTACTCCGGAGAAGTCCCTGACAGATTTCCCCAGTGCAATTCGTGTTTTATTTCCTAACTGCTGCAAGAGTGTTGACTGTGTAGCTAAGCAAGCTGTAATTATTAACAACCTCAATCTCTTCTCCATCTATCATGGTGCTGCCAATTGGCCCAGTTATAACAATGGTGTTATTCAGTATTTGTCATTTGTGAGGCTGTGCTATTTCACTCAGCATTATGAAGGAAAGAGCTGTTTAAAAAAATATATATATGATTAGGCATTATTTGTATGACAACAGTACAGAATAAGAGGGGAAGGAGTAAGGCAGAGGGAGGAAAATGTGCAACAATGAATGAATGAAAATCTAACTCTTCTGTAAACTTTTGTTAATATCATAATTTAAAAAAAATATTTACAGCCTCAGAAACATGACTGAGGTTGGTTGGTTTTTTGTTTTGATGTTATAATTGCTGAAGATTTATTTACTATTGAGAATTCCTAACTTACATTGGATCATATCTGGGTAGCAGTGTCTTAATTTGTTATAATATGACATTACTGGTTCTCTGTCTAGAAGTCACCTTCTGATATTTCTTGTAAGGTTGGCCATGTTTTTACAAGCTCCTTCTATTTTTATTAAATTTCTATTTATCTGGGAATGCCTTAGTTATACCATCAATTCGAAAGACATTTTTGCTGGATACATACAATTCAAGATTTTATAGACATCATCCCATTGCCTTTTTATCTGCATGGTTTCTGCCTAGCAATCATAGTTTAGTGTTAATGGTATTCCTTTATATGTGGTATTTCCTTTTTCAAAAGCTGTTCTCAGAAGTCTTTGTCTTTTGGTTTTTATTGTGATTGGATGGCATCAAGTCAGTTCCAACTCAGCAGGCTTTTATACAACAGAATCAGAATGAAACATTATGCAATCCGATGTCATTACCGTATATACTGACTTTTACTTTTCTTCTTCTTGTGGGCTATGGAATCACAACTGACTTATACCTCAAGTGGGATTTAGAGGTTGTCAATCACAAAGGAGGAAAATGCTCATCTTTCTTCCACAGAACAGCTAGTGGATTCAAACTGTCAGGCAGCACACCACCTTCCTTCTCCTACTATCTTTCATGATTTTAGTGACACTATCTGTCAATAAATTATCACAATCCTCTCTGTGTTGTTAAATTGTTTGTATCTCTTCCAGTTCTGATGATACTAATTATTCCTCTTGATAGTGTTCCACATAACTCTAAAGTTTTCTTCATTGTCCATCATTCTTTTTTCTGATTTTCCTCAAATAGATCATTACACCAAAAGATTTGTCCTCTAGTTTATGGATTCTTACCATTTTTTTTTTGGTCCTTCTATTATCATTTGCAGTATCTATTAACATTTGCAGTATCTTACTGTTAATATTTTGTACTTCTATTATCACTTTCCTCAAACAAATTATTACCAAAGGCTCTGTCCTCTGTTTTGTTGATTCTTTCCACATTTTGGTCCTCCTATTATCATCTGTAGTATCTCACTGTTAATATTTTGTCCTTCTATTATCATGAGTTATACAAGTGTCTAGGTCTTTCATTCATAGGGTCGCTATGACTCTTCTACAACTCGACGAGACTGAACAACAACAACAACAACATAGAGAGAGCTCTGTTTGTCTGATGGATAGAAAGTTATGCTACCAAGTCAAAGGTGTGTGGTTTTAATCTATGGTCCCCAGGCCTGGTTTTCATTTATTTTGGTGAAACATTCTTCTAAGTGGTATAACACTGGTTGGTCCATTTGCTGTACAGGGGTAACTCATGGTTGCTGTGATGCTCAACACTGTGACACTAATGTGTCAAATATTATAATGGTTACTCATGGTGGACAGTGTTTGGTGGAGCTCCCTGATTAAAACAAGCTTGGAAGCAGGAGTGGCATCCAATTTCAAAATAGCTTGCCTCTGGAAACTCTATGAACTTGAAGAAATGATGAGAGTTATACAAGTGTTCCAGTCTTTCAACCCCTATGGGGTTGCTATGAGTCTTGATGGCACTTAACAGCAACAACATGATCATTTGAAGTATCTTACTGTTAATATTCCACATATCTAATAGTTTGGTATGATTTCAAATTATCTGTCATTTTCTTTTCATGCCATTTTCCTAGATGTCTCTAGGGTTTTGCCTGATCTATTTTGATAATCCTTTATGTTAAGACAATTGAATTCCAAGTCAAAACTAAATTCCATTACCATTTCTTCCTCATGTAGCTTTTCTGCCCCTTTATTTTTCACAACTGTTGAGGCATCCTAATTTGTTTATTCATAGCCTCTGTTACTATCTGCTGCCCAAGGTGTTTAGTGCCAGCAGTTAGTATCTTATCTGGAGATCAAACAAGAAATTTTCTATATTCACTGTGAGAGTGCTACCCAAACGCAAAGGGGCCTCAGAGTAAGTTCATGAACTATTTGTGGGCAATGTGCTGCTGCAGCCATGAGAGAAATACATAAAGGTGCTAGGATAATTTGCTTGTCACTTAACAGAGATGTAATATATGTCCATGGCTGGTTTTGCTGGTGAACCAATCACCTGGGTGTAGGAGCAAGCTGCCAAGTTGGTATTATCTGTACAACACTTGTGGCTGAGTAATCAGGGGAAGAGTGCGCAGGTCTACTCATTGGATGGTGGCATGGGAACTCACAGCACTCATCCTATATGGGTGCAACTGCATGGAGGGGAATGTGAAGTAGATACAAGACTCAGATTGTGAGACCAAAGGGCAAAGAGGAAAAACTGCCTCAGTGGAGGGAACATTCAGTCTCTTCAGGAACTCAGTGTGAGTGGCTAAGCTGAGAAGCAGTGCCACAGGAGCCAGTGTAAGTAGCCAAGCAGAAGAGTTAACACTGCTCATTTATTGGTCTGTGATGCAGGAGAAACCCCACTACACGGTGCAACTGATCCATGAGTGTAAATGAGGGTAGATGGGATGGATAGGAGAGGCATCACAAGTTCAGAGGACTCCAACAGAAAACTGTGGAAAGTATTGTGAGTCACTGCACATAACATTCACTGAGCCGGGAACATTTATGCTTATCACTAGAAACAGGTATGACGTGGGACAGAGGAGCAAAGATTCCTTTTTGGGTAATGAAGGTTCTGTTGGGGATGCTGTACGCTTTATCTTTATGTTGTGGTCATGCTAGGCAGATCCAGCTAGCAAGGTGCTGACAATTCCTAATTATATATATTCACTGTTTTTGGACAGTCTCTCTTTCCACTTGTAACTCAGTCCAAGTGCTCATCCTTCTCTTTCTTAGCTAAAGTTCCAAAGTTGTCATTTATATCCAACTCACTTATTTCTAGGGTTTTTATTGTAAGGGGGAGGTTATAAGCCATCTGACTAAGCTGCCATTTTGAATTGTTTCCTTTGTATTATAATATATGAACAAAAACTCTATGAACACTGCTCAGGCCTTTCGTTCATAGGGTTGCTATGAGCGAGTCATCAAGACTCGACAGCACTTAACAACAATAATATATGAATTAGGGTACTTTCCAATATATATATGGGTTAGATAATTTTGTGCTCAGTTTTTACTAACCCAAGAGTTTTAAGTTTCTTCACGATACAGACTTTGAAATTTATAACCTAGTATAGAGTATTGTTGTTTAATTGATGTTGAGTAGTGTTAAGTGTGAACCAACCCAGAGCTGACCCTGAAGCAGGTTTTCAGAGGCAATAAATCACACAGGAAAATGCCCAACCTTCACTTGCAGAGCAACTGGTGAATTCAAACCACAAGCCTTTGGGATTGCAGCAAAGCTTTTTACCACTAGGCCAATAGCCAAGAGGAAATGTCTATAATGCTAAAATTCCAAAAAGACTAAAAATATGCAACCTTACAGGCCTTCTACAATTAATTACATTAGTGCTATTAATAAAAAAATCATTACATAAACACTTTTCTTAAATATACCATTAACACTTCACTTAGATTATTAAAATAGCCTAATAGTCCACTTCTAGTATTTCCGACCTCTAATTCAATCTACAAAGGAATGATCAATTAAGTTTCCTGAAAAGAATTCTCAAAGTCTCCAATCCACCTTGAGACTAAAGTTTAGAAAGAAATCTATTAACAATCTTTCACAAGTTAGGATTTATCTGTATTTGGTAACAAAACATACTGGGACAAAAATTATAAATTACACTGTTTTACCATTTCAGAACATTTCAAAGCAGCAAGTATTCCCAATATAAAAAACAATTTTAAAGATAAACTAATAGTCTATAATAAAATAAGAGTTCCAGATAGCAAAAGAGACCTAACAAGCTAGCATTTAGCTATGCTAAGATACAGACTTTGTAACAAGTTTTTGTCCCTATACACCATCAAGTTAGAATCAGCTGACTCTCTAGTTGGTTTTTGGTAGTGAAAAAACTCATGGAAGGAGACTGACCATCTTTTCCCCCTGAAGCAGCTGATGGATTTGAACAATGTCCCTTTGGGACGGATGGCAGTGCAACTCCTTACCAAAAGGCCACCAGAGTTCTCTTTTAACATGAGTGAAGTAATATGTTTGGTATCACTTTGATGGTTACCAAATAATTATTTGTAATTAAATTACTAAGTGTAATATTAAAAGGTCTACTGCTTTTTAAGTGGTCCATATTGCAAAATTCTAAAGTCTAAAGAATGTAAGTAGTTAATTCCAGTGAAATTCCTCCATTTTTAAAGCTTTGACCAAGTGAACAGACCAATTCATGAATAAAGTTCTTAACTTAAAAACTTAGTATGTTTAGCTAAATTCATCAAACATTTATTTAGGTAGTACATGCTATATTCACTACTTTTCATCAGCATCACAATTCAAAGTTATCAATTCTATTTTGGTCATCCTTATTCATTATCCAAATATAATGCCAAGGAACAGGCACAACTTGCTTTTTTAAGGTGAAGTCTTTAATCTTTAACTATTCAAAGAGCTCCTTCAAAGCACATTTTCCCAATGTGATGCTTCTTTTATTTCCTTACTGATATTACTGGAGGTATTGATGGTAGATCAAAATGAAGTTAATCCCTTGACAATTTCAATCTTTTCTACATCCATCATTATGCTGGCTACTCCTGCAAAAGTGGTGAGGATTTGTTTTCTTTATTTTTGTTGATGTGTATCCATGCTAAAAGCTGTAGTCTTTGATCTTTATCAGTAAGTGCATAAAATTTTCTTCACTTTCTGGAAGCAACGATATACTACATAAGTAACATAGGTAAATGATGAGAATATAATTCTTTGCTTCTTTAGCTTTGCTTCTCTGTATTTTCTAGTTTTCAAAAATGTACAAGTTGTCTTTAAAAATTTAAAAGATTATTTAAGATAAAGAGATATAAAAACAAACTCAGAACTCAAACGAAAATTTTAATTTGCTATTGTTGTCAGCTGAAATCTAAGATGAAGTGTTTTCAGTCATACTCTTTAGGATCCTACCAGGTAGATACATTTAATCTGAAACAGTATCAGGCCATAACTCTCAACAACAATCACACTATACTAAGTAAATGAGAAATATACATTGTCTTCGTATATGGAATTCCCTAATCAAATCAATTGGAAGATACCTTCATCTCCTATTTTAAGAAAAATTAATAAATTCACAATCAAGATCATTAGGCACCCAAGCAGATGTTGGTTGTCACTAAACCCTGACATTAACATTCTTAAAAAACATTTAAGGTAGAAATACATTTAAGCATTACTTGTCAGTAATCTATAATTTAACTTTCAAATTATTTTCCAACTATTCATTACATTTTATATTTGTAGAGTGTGCTCCAATAGTTTACTTTTTAAAAGTGAGAGCGTCTTAATTATTGAACTTAGCCTAATTAACTACTTCAAGGATAAATTAATGAATTATTTTTTTTCTAAGTGCTTTATCATACCGCTGCATTCCTGCTCTGAAGCAAAGGCTTTGTGTTCCGAATTAAGAGTCTGTGGTCTGGGTCCATAGAATAAGGCTTCTTTTTTGAATCAGTCTTTTCCTTCTGCTCATCCTCAGATTCATAGAAATTCTTCTCATTGTCTTCTAGACCACCATCCTGCAAGGAAAGAATTCCAATCGTAAGATTAATTCAGCTCCCTAATTAACAAAAATGTTTATAGTCAAAGAAAATGTTAAAAAATCTACATTAATAGTAACGTTTTACTGTGAAAATGTAAAATTATTATACTGTATAAAAAGAATGACTTAGATTTTTCTCCTATTTTAAAAAAATAATAGCCACCTTTCAGTGCATATAATTTACATACATCAAGAGAGAGAAAGAGCTCTGTGTTCTAGTGGGTAAGTAGGTGCACTGTCAATCCAAAACCAAGCAGTTGATCTAGAAGCTTCTTTTTGAGAGAAAGATGCGAAATCTACTCCAGTGCAATTTTCAGACTCTGAAAACCCAGTGGAGATGAGCTATGAGTGAGTTCAACAGAGTTAACAATGAGTTTAAGGAATAAAGCCTTCAACTGAAAAAAAAAAAATATTTATAGATAAAACATATTCTCTAAATTATTTTACATGATCAAAACAATATTTATAATGTCAATGTAAAGGCATAAAGAAGACATACTACAATGCAAAGGGGGGAGAATGGTAGTAAACGTGAAATGTTGCAACTCACAATGGCTAACATGGTACATGGAATAGTAGCACTGAATTCTGAAGTAGTAAAGTCTTAAAGAGAGTGTTTCCAATCAAAATAAATAGTTTGAATCAACCACCTGCTCCACATAAGAAAGATGAACAATCTCCTCCATCATGATTTAATGCCTCGGAAAACTCGCTGCAGGGTTAGCTAGAGCCTGTTTCAACTCAACAGTACTTTATATCTAGTGCAATTAATCAAAAAGGCCATAAAAATACACAGAATCACTAAGCCTTATTCTTTAACAAGTTTTGTAATTATATCTCAAGCAGACAGATGAATACTGTGACTGTAGCAATGGGCTCAAGTACATCAGAAATGATGAGGCTGGCAAAGAATAGGACAGAGTATAAATCTCTATGGATTCACATGGTCTCTAGGAGTCATATTCAATATGACAGAACCTAACAATCACCATATCTTTTATTCTTACTCATAGCAACCCTATCAGACAGAACAGAACTGTTCTACAAGGTATCTAAGGCTGTATATCTTCACAAAAGCATAATACCACATCTTTCTCCTCTTAGTGGTTTAGTAACTTCAGGCAGCTGACCTTTCAGTTAAACACCAAAACTTTAATCCCTATCAGACCAGGACCCCTAGAATCACAACGGATAAGGAAAAGTAGTTTAAAAAATTAACTCCTAGGAAGGTAGAAATAAGAAAAAAGAGAAACTGAAAAAACATAATAGACAATATAAACCCTAATTACCAGTAGATTAAAACTAAATTATCTAAATACATCTATTAAGAGATGAGTGAAGTGAAAATCATGACACAAGTATATAGCAAGAATGGTTAGATTGTACTATAACATCAGATAAAGTACAGAGAAAAGAGAAGAGGGTAATCTATCAAAAAAGTTACGTACTTTATAGTTCCATTTCCAAAGTATTCTTAAAACGACAAAAAAATCACAAAAACAAGGAATGATTAATAGTTGCTGGAGGTTAAAGACAGGGAATGGAAGTGTATTATCAAATCCTTCTGGGTGATCCTTCTGGTGAGGGGAAACGTTATGAATATTATGGTTGAGCTGCAGTTTTGCGAGACGTTAGTTATCCACCCTCCTTAGGATATACAATTGAAAACAAAGTCACTTATCTCTCGGTGGTACTTAAAAAGAGGGTAAATAAAATATACTTTTACATGAAGGCTAAATTTGGATGATTGCTCTTTTAGCAAGCTCGTGGCCAAATTAATTATATTAAATGCATTTTTGTTGTTATATGCTGTTGAGTCCTATGTAATTCATAACAACTCTACGTACAATAGCTCTGAACCCTGCTCTATCTTGAGGCAAGTGCATCGACTCCAACACACCAACCCCTCTATTACCTAAGTCACTGAGTCAATTTATCTCATCCAGGGTCTTCCTATCTTGTGCTCTCCCTCCACCCTTCCAAGTATGATGTCTGTCTTCAAGGACTGGACCCTCCTGGCAACATGCTCAAAGTACGTGAGATTTCAAAATCCTTGCCTCCAAGGAGCACCCTTATTTCACCCTCAGCAGGACAGACCTGTTTGTTGTCTTAACAGTCCATAGTATGTTCAATACTCTTCTCCAGCACCAAAACTCAAAGGCATCAATTCTTCCATCATCCTTATTCACTGTCCAGCTCTCTGATACACAGCAAGTAATTGTAAAGGCCATGCCTGGATCAGATACACCTTAGTCTCTAGACTGACATCATTGCTTTTTAGCACTCTGGAGGTGTCCTTGACAGCAGATTTAACCAATGCAATTAGTCTTTTTCTTGGCTACTAAATTAGTACATCAAAAAAATAATACCTAAATAAATTGTCTACATATAACAAGTCCTCTATAATCTCTAGTCCAATAAAATATTTAAACTCCACTTGAAACTGCTATATGGTGAAACTGCTGTATTAACAAACTCATTTTAACACATTATTCAAATGCATATAAAAGGCTGCTCTTAATAGGAATTTATTCAATCCATTTCTGTTCCACAGTCAATTAACATATTTTAAAGTTCAATTAAATTACCTTAACAAAGAACATATTTGTATTGCTTATTTTCATGCACAAGTACTTAAAATTATCATAGTAATTTTAGCAAAAAGATTGAAAGATTTTTCTTTCATTAGTATCTCTTTTGTGTACTTATTTACATTGTTTCCAGATTCAAAGATCTTATATAGTTGTCAAGAAACAGTTCTATAAATCAATACTTCAGGATGTGTTATACCAAAGGTGTGTAAACTGTTTTGTAGCATGTATTAATATATAATTTAGCATACTTTCCCACATTAAAATAAGTAATTGAAAATGACACATTTAAAGTTTAGCAACAGAATACTAAGTTAGTTAATGAGAAAAAAAAATCTGCTGTTTAGAGTTAAAATAGCTTGATACCACTGTAAGAAATAAAGCATTACAATATCTGTCCCTAAGAAACTTCCTCTTCAATTAAAAAAAAAAATAAATTAGATTTGTTACTACTTCCACAAGATGATGTCAGCACACCCCTCTAGATTCAATTCTGCTGTATTGTCTCTCTCTCAACTTTCATTGCCATTAAGCCAGAATCGACTCACACTTGAAGATGGAACCAAAAGGGGTAAAAAAAAAATAAAGATTTTTAAATGAAAGGAAGATGTTTTAAAGATGTTAATAAAGGAACAAGAGCGGCCCTCCCTACAGACTTCACCACAAGAACTAGAAGGATGTAATTCTTTAAGCTGGTGGGAAAAAATACCACAGTTTTTGTTAAATGGAAGGAAGATATTTTAAAGATTTTATTACATGAGAAGTCCTCCTTATAAAAAATGTTTCTTATGTATTTGTAATTTATTACTGTTAAGTTTCTGTGTATAATATGTTGTTAGTACTCAAATAATTCACCTTTGTATTTATAGTATAGCTTTTATATAAAGCTTATACAAAAGGAAAAAATGTTTACTTTACACTGGTTTGCACACAAAATTGTATATATTGTGTTTCACCGACATACACTGTTTCTCATATTCCAACATTCACATTGTGTTTCATAGGATCATTTCTCACACCCTGTGTTTTATAAAGTTGTAATTGGTATTAGTCCATGACATGTGGCAGAGGCAAACTTTAGCAGGGTAGCAAGCAGAAATAGGAACTTCATAACATTATTGGTGGGACTGTAAAAAGATAATACCATTCTAGAAGGCAGTTTGGCGTTTCCTCAAAAACTTAAATATAGAAACCCCATATGATCCAGCAATTTCACTGCTAGGAAAAAACATCAAGGAAATCAGAAATGAGACACAAATGGAGACTTCTCCGTCAATGTTCATAGAAGCATTATTCACCATCACAAGAACACGGAAACAACCCAAATATTCAACCACAAACAAACAGATTGAGGAATTGTGATGCAGTCACATGATGGAATACTACAAAGAACTTAGAAGCAAAGATTGAGAAAATACTACATAACTTGGGAGAAAATGGAAAGTATTATGCAGAGTGAACTCAGTCTCATAAGGACAAATATTGTATAAGTCCATTTTATAAAAATAGAAGGATAACAAGCACTTATTGGGACACAATGGGGGCAGTGGTGGGAGCAGAGGAGGATGTGTAAGGGGGAAGTCACAAGGTCACACAATTTGGTAGGTGGAGGAAGAGACAAAAGGAAATAGGAAAGACCTCACAGGGACCTTTTTAAAAAAGACAGGTTAATGGTGAGCATAGTTCAATGATGATAAATTTTAAAGCACAATGTATGGGAATAACCATATGAAACATAATATCAATGAAAGAAGGTATAAAATACACTTTATACAAATTTTATTTAAAAATAAATTTAAAACAAAGAAATATGAAGGACAGCTACCTGGTCAATTGACTGGAAGAGATCCATAATTATTCCCATCTACACAGAGTGTGGAAAATTATCAAACACTATCACTAATATAACACAAACGCAAAATTCTATGGAAGATTATCCAAAAATTACTAGAACAGTACTTCTACAAAGATGTCACTGACAAATGATTTTTCTACAGTCAGTAGGTTTTCTTTTCACACTACTAGAAAAAAGGTTTTTATGCACAGAGGGACATAATCTTTAGAAGATCACATTCATTGATGTAATCCTTTCTCGGTTGTGCATTTCTGGCTATATTTGCCAGCCTCTTTATAACATAGACTAGACCTTCTAATTTTAGGCTCATTTGTCTTTTTTTTGATCCTTATAATTATAGAATTTACCCCTAGTTCTCTGACCCACTTTGAGTTGACTTTTGTGTAAGGTGTGTGATGTGGATTCTGCTTCAGTTTTCTGCACTAGCACTCTAGTTCTTCCAGCACCATTTTAAACTAATTTCCAATAGTATAGTACTTGAATCGATCTTTGTGGAATGTGTGTTCTCAAGATTTCAAACAATCAGAATTG